TAGGCCTGTGAGTCTCACTTCAGTGCCTGTTAAAATTACAGGGAAAATTATGCTGGCAGTTATTGAAAAACACCTGAAGGACAATGTGGTCATGGGTCACAGCCAACATGGGTTCATGTGGGGAAAGTTTGTTTAACAAACTTAATTTCTTTTTATGACAAGGTCACCCATCTAGTTGACCAAGAGAAGCCAGTTGATGTTATTTTTTTGATTTCTGTAAGGCTTTTGATAATGTTTCTCACATTCTATCACGTGGGTTGTGTGGGTAGCTTCAAGACACATAGACTTTCTACTGGTTTGAGCAGACTGAACCTGAAGATACACTCCTACCAGTCCAAAAATAAACAGAAGTTTCCAGCTTCAATGCCAAGCACTGTAGCATTATAGGAAGACAATAAGGGCCTGAAGAGAGAGCCATTTCCTTTCAGCCAGGCCATTTTGTATTTTACATGTGTTGTCCTTGTTCTTCCCTTCAGGGTCAATGGAGGTGACTCAGATAGAAAAGTATCTCCTGTTAATTGGATTAAGACATGAAGAACATAGGGAATAATTAAGTCAGGCGAGTAAAAAGCTGAGCAAGTGATTTATGTTCCGTCAACATTAACAGGAAAGCTGATTGAAGTAAATAATCTTGAAGCAAGTGACTACTTCCTAAGTCAGTTAGGGCTGATGAGAAGGGAAAAATAATGGTTATAAGCAAAGTGAGCAAACAAACAAACAACAACAACAAAAAATCCAATCAACCAGGAAAAAAAAAAAAAGACAAAGAGGGACTAGAAAAATTTGGTATGGAAGGAATACGAATTCCCACTAATTATAAAGATGTGACTCTTACTGCATATTGCAAACAGATGGGGGAACACACCTAGGTAGTTATTAACTCCTGGAACATCCCCTGTAAGTGTTATGTGTAGATCAGTCTAAATTACCTAAGGGTAAGAAGTACCTGCACCAAGTTCAAATGAAAAAAAAAAAAGAAAGATGGCTTAAAAAACCCCTAAACCTAATGAATTATTACATACAAGGAACATGACTCCCTGTAAAATCATCTTGTTCCCTACCTCTCCATCCTGGTAATTACACAGAGATGCTCAGGCACAGTACACTTTGAATGCCTGGGGTAGGGAGGATAAATTTCATAGAGTCCAGTAGGAATTTCAGAAGAGAAGCAAAATTAAGGAAACTTCTCAGACTTGCGGTTTGCTCTGATCAGCTTGTCCAATGTCTTGCACTAGTTGACATCCAGTATCAAGATGAAAAAGTGTTGGTAGAGCTGCCAAGCTTTCTATGCCTATTTGCATCTCCAGGCTATAGAAAGACTGACCTTCTATCAGATATAAAAGCCACAAATCTGTCCTCAGAACAGTGCTTTGGGCCTCTGGCTGGTCAGATCAGGGAGACTAATGCCCCTTCCCCAAGGGCATCTTCCAACAACTCAGTTCCAAGAATTACCTGGCATTTATGGGTTTAAGGGATGGCTGAAGTGTTTTGCAAAGCCATTCTGATATAACAGTTTTTAATCCAGCCCCAGACATGTTAGGTCTTGGCTATTCACTGTAGGGAATTGTAGTAAAATCAATTAGTAGGAATAAGGCTGCTGTGACTAATAAGTTAATGAGTGATGCCTGAATGGAAATGGCTTCAAGAGATGTGCAGGGTTGGATTCCTGATACATGCAGTCATAGGGATATGCCAGATTCAGCCTTGGTAATGTCTGGCTTTTACCTCGCTTCTCCAAATTTCTCTTCAACTTTTAAAGACACTCCTCATCAGAGCAGGAGAGGAGAGAAGAGATGGATGTTTAATTTTTCTCTTTCTAGGTGCAAAGTGCTCTAATCTCTGCAGAATCATGGTGTCCACAAGAGATGAATAGGGGAGATTATGCATTAGAGGTGATATATCATTTAATCTCTCCACACCAGCAGGTTTGCTCATTAGACAAACCCATTCTTGCTGCTGCCTTCCTTAAGTGGCTTTCATCGTTGACATTATTTTGTAATTACTAGGAGAAAACAATGAATTGTTTGACAAATCTCCTTTTTAACCTATCTAATACATAGCTTATTTGGTAGGTATAATTAACATTAAAACAAGCCCTAACTTAATATCAAAGGTTGGGAAACTGAGGTTAATTTTCCAAGGTCATCTAGTAATTCATTGGTAGGGCTAAAAATATACCTCTAAGCATCTGCTTTTAAGGTCAGTGCCTGCTCCTGTTGCTTCCAGTAACTCATGCACTTATTATCAGGGTTACACAAAAATAGCAGTAGAGTACTCATGAAAAAGAAGAATTAACTAGTGGTTAAACCATGTGGAATACAATGCTGTCTCTATTTCTGGAGTTGCTACTACCTTGCTGCATACGCCTAATTAACCTCTCTGCATCTCAGCTTCTTATGTCTGATCTTAATATAATAATATTTACTCGTGTTGCAGGAGTATTCTCAGGTTTAACCTACTTGTAGGTGTGCAGCAAAAGCCTAGTGCTAGCATGCAACACAGTTATTTCAGCATCCCTGCACATCTACCTTTAAATCCTATCAAAGCATTTCCTTTCTGGAAATACGTGGGATTTCTAGCAAATATGCGAAACGATGAATAGAATCAATAGAATGGAGGGTTTAAGGTGATTAAGTCAAAAAGGCTCTAAATTGAAACCAGTGCCTGCATTTCTTCAAGCACACATTCAACCCATGGATGCTGAAGCTTTACCACAAAGGTGTGCGGACATCTCGTAGGACTTCTTGGCAAGTCCCATTCAGTCTGGTAACCGGGGAAAGTAGGTCTACTGGGAAGGTTGGGTTTTGGAGTATATTGCATTTGGAATCTAAGTTATGGCATATTTCCAACATGTTCCAACAGTTGAAGGACTATTTCCACCAGATGACAATTGACAATGCCTTCTTAGAATGACAGAATCATAAAGGTTGGAAAAGATCACTGAGATCATCAAGTCCAACCATTAACCCATCACCACCATGCCCTCATTGTCACAGCTCCATGTTTTTTGAACACCTCCAGAGATGGTGACTCCATCACTCCCCTGGGCAGCTTGTGCCAATGCCTTGCCAATCCTTCTGAGAATAAATTTTTCCTAATATCCAATCTGAACCTCTCCTGGTGCAACTTAAGGCCATTACCTCTCGTCCTATCTTGTTCTCCAGGAGACTGTATCTAGGATAGAAAAATGGCTTGGCCCAGATTCGTCAGGTTGGAAATAAAAATTAAATGGAACTTTCCCTTATATTTATAATAAAAATGCCTCTCAAATGCAGCAGATTCTTGCATTTATTTGCATTTGAACTCATACAGTAGAAAATTTATTTTTTTCTTCAAATATATCTTGTCGCTGAGTCAGGTTTATATGGCTTATGTCCTTTTAAATTCTTTTTCTTCTCTGTAATTAATAGAAAACCCCAGCAGTACAGGATTTGAATACCCACAAAAGAAAAAATGAGTTCAATGAAATGCTGTTTGGACTTTCCTATTAGTTCTTGTTACTTATTTTCTGGCTTGCCAAAACTGCAAGGCAATTGCATAAGGTGGATATAAAAGAGGAAACATCTCAGTTGCTGCTTAAAGACTTACTCAGATAAGATCAATTGAAACTATAAACAAGTGAGTTATGTTGTCATCCCCCTAAGCAACCCTCCAAACTGAAGGAATGCGCAGGCTTTAAGGTGTCAGCACTGTAAAAATTCTTCTGTCCAAAAAACTTAGAATGTAATGAAGATCACATTTCAGATGTGCAAATGAAACCATTCATCTAGTGCACATTTTTTTGAGGCCACTTGATACCAGAAACTAGAATCCACACCCCTTTCCGTGTTTAGTTTTTTTCTTAAGAAGAAAGCAAACACAATCAGAATATTTCCCCCTTCTTAATAGGATTATAAAATTCTCTCAGCTCAACTTGATGAATGTCATACCAAGAACATACCAAAATATCTTTCCCTAGATAATTCAGAGCTGGAATGAGCTACTAGACTTCCATAATCAACGTAATGACTTTATTATGGTGCCACTGAGAAAACAATTGTTCTGAACTCATGAGGATGTAGATAACTCAGAAGTGTTGCTTCTAAGTGACAGTTATCATAGAATCATATAATCATCTAGTCCAACCATCCACCTACCACCAGTATAGGACAGTAACTGGAACTTTAAGTTTGGACTGACGAGGACTGGGTTGTTTATCTGGAAAAGAAGACTCAGAAGGACCAATTATTTTTCACATTTCAGAAGCTCAAGTGATACTAAACCTGAGTAAGCTTCCTCCAATGATTTCGTAGGTAACAAAAATGATGCAAATGTCTCCAAGAATGTCTTTGTTTCAGCTTTCCCTTCTTTCCTCCTAGGTTGGTTCATGGCCAACCTACTGTCCGCTAGCATACTCAGGTCCTTCTCTGCAAAGCTTCTTTCCAGCAGGTTGGTCCCCAGACTGCACTGATGCATGCAGTTATTCCTCCCCAGGTGCAATGAGGTGCATTTGCTCTTATTGCACCTCATCAGATTCCTGTTTGCCCAGCTCTCCAGTACATGGGATTTAGTGTCTTGCTGTTCACAGATACAGATGTTTTTTTCCCAAAGTGTATGGAAACCACCAACATTTCTCTAACCATAATTAAAAAAAAAAAGAAAAAGAAAAGAAACATCAACAAGCTGCAAAGCAGAGATACTGGAATGATTGAATACCCCTAGGCTTGCACATCATGCTTAGACACAAAGGATCCAGCTTAAACAACCTCAGCTATTGTCCATCAGCTAAACCCTAATTTTCTTCTTCAAGGAACATGAAAAGAAATGACTGTATAACAGAAGGTGTGGCTTACTTTGTGGATGGTTAAATACATTTATAGCTCAATTAGACTGTTTTTTTCCAGTAGAATTGAATCTCAGGCTGGAATCACTGTATGGCAAGGCACCAGGAGGTGTAGCATTAAATCCTGTGGTGAGGACAGGTAGCAGCTTAGTGACCAGGTGGCAAGGATCCACAAAAGATGAAGCTCTTTCTGCCTCTTCTGTTGGTTGCCATCGCTGGCATGGAGTTTGGTAAGTTTCCACTCTGCCTTGTCCAAACTGCTGAGGGACATGCAAGGTGAAAGCCTCCCACTTTGGGGAATTTTCAGCAAAAATCTGTCTATGAAATATTTCCATCCTTTCAGATGGCCAGGACCATCATGTTCTCATTGAGATTGTTAGTTTAGGCTCTGTAGGATATGTTAAAGATAAAATTTGATTCTACAGTGTTATTTCTCTGATACAAATTTCAACTTTCTATGTGTTCTTGTCTGACTCTCATCTTCTTTTTTTTCTTTTTTTTTTCTTTTTTTTTTTTCTCTTAATTTTAGTTCCTATTTTTTTTTTAATTTAATCCTGAAGCCAGCCAGCGTATTCAATGCCATGTGTGTAGCGGCTCTCTCTAATTATACGTTGCATTTATATTTTATTAAACTTCAGCTGTAAGAATTGGGTAAGACAGGCTGGGACTCAAAGCTCCTGACCCAAAGTACTGCAGGGCTGATTTTTCCAGCTCCATTTAGTAATGCATTGTTGTCTGCATGAAGCCAAGGACAATTTTGGCAGTCCACCTTGGGAAATAACCAAGGGTCTAGAGTTTGGGGGATTTTTCTCCTTGGCAGAGGATTAGAGAGTTTTTCATGGCTAGAAGTATCACCCCTTACAATCCTTCCTGCTTCATTTCTGTCCACCTTTGCTGGTCATACAAAAGCAACTTAATATTGGATGTGATCAATCTGGGATGTGAATGTAGAAAGCAAACCCTATCAGTTCTGTATCTTCAGAGATGCCATGTAAACCTTTATATGTCCAGCTGTGAATTTCAATTGTTTCTCCTCCATAACCAGCTTATGAGGTCAAATATGAAGAGATGTATGACATATGGCTGTTTGCATTCCTGAGGGAGTAAGAAATCCTCTTGTCACAGACAGCTCCACATGAGCAGCAATGCCACAGCCTCAAATGGTGGAATGTGACCACATGGTGCATAGACATTGATCTTGATATAAGCTCCTCATCCTGCTGCGACCAGAATGGTTTCTTACTTCACAGCATGACTTTACATTGCTGGTGTCAGGCTGCGAGTTGGGGTTTGAGGCAAGTCCTATGCAGGACAAATCAGGGGCTGTACTTGCTTTTGAGATGTTCACATGCCCTGTGTTTCTCTGGATGCAGCCAGTACAGAGAATGATTTAATCAGTACCTAGTTAGGATTTTTGCCTTTTTCCTTTGTGTTTATTTCCAGTTTATATAATAAGATGCCTTCCTTCCTCCACCATTGAGTCTGAAGATTGAATTCTTCCAGGGAGGGCCAAGTGGATGGGGAAAGAAGGGTTTTGTGGAGATTTTTTGCAAGATGGCCTCTGGGAGGCAGATCCAACCAAGGGCTGGCACAGCAGTTCTCTCTTTTTTATTTTTTTTAATATCCTGCTTTCTTTCAAGGCATGGCTCTGGTCACTTGTAGTCCAAAGCCTTTGGGGTCTTGTGCTGTGGCAAAATCAATGATTATCTTATGCTTGCCACAGCTGTTGCTGAAGAGATCCAGTCCTCACTGGTCTCAAGAGAAGAAGAGGTATCTTTTTTCACCATTATACTCTTTTCTTTCTGGGGTTTCTTTTCTGCTCATCAATGGAGAGACAGTAATTCAGAGAGGAATGTATTTAACTGACAGAGGAATAACTTGGAGAGAAATTATCTATGTAGTCAGGTGTCTTCAAAGGAAGGGACGGAATCCTAGAGTAGGAAAATAATGGAGTGGGATACAAATTTGGTTGAAGATTGACTCCTAATTTTACCATCCTTTTCAATGAGATTTTTGTCAAGAGTTGGGCAGCCGGTTAACAGAGGCTCCTGCTCTGGTTCAGGGCTGCTACATTTCTGCTTCATTCTCTTCCACTTCCAATTCTCAGTGAGGTAGTCATGGTCAGGATGGATGCTTTAATTAGGAGGCGAAGATGAGCAAATCTTGGAAACTTCATAGAAGATTTGGAAGCAGAATTTTCCTCTTAATGGAAGAAAAGAATTTTCTTCTTTCCTCCTGCAAAATTGGGGTGAAACTGTGATATACTTATATTTCCTCTATAACTTTTTCTAAACATGAATGAAATTTGAATTTTTTTTAATTTCCTAGAAATTCAGTCAGAGGTGAAGTAGGGAAGATCTGCCCATATCTAAGCAAAACTAGCAAAATCTTCTCTAAGAAATTCCAAGATCATTATCTTATCTTCTCTTCTGCTTTCAGCTCACACACATACACACACAGAAGCGCTATAACTGCTAATATTGAAACATTTTGACATTTTTTCTCTTTTTTTTTAAGAAGGCTTGCCATCTGTCTCCATTCCTTTTCATGGTCTGGTTTCATTTCTAAGCTACTGCATGTCTGCTTGTCAGTGTGTAAGTTCATAAACTCTTAAAACAAAAAAGGCACCACTGCTGTCTGCACAAATATATGCTCTTCACAAATAAGCTTCACAGGTGTTTCAGAGCTTGTTTCAAACAGAGCTTTTATATACTAAATGTTAAAATCTTGGTGTTTTGCCCTGCTTTGTGTGATGCCAGCTCACCATGACTACTGAAGCACTGCTTTATTTTCAAATGTGAAGCTGTTTAATTCTAGCTTTTGGTCATTTAGCTGTGTCAAACACTTCTTGATCTGCTATTTTTTCTGTCTTCAAAAAATGGTATGTTCATAAATATAGCTATTATTTAATGTATTTAGCCATGTTTTATCCCACTAGTTTGAGTGATAATGAAAATACCAAGTTTGCACACGTTGGGTACTAAGATCTCTTAATTTCACTCCCTTTGTGCTTTTTTGTTTTCCAAATATAAATACCAGTCCTGTAGCTTTGGCTTGTCAGATGATGAGTTTCCTGAAATCTGAGAATAAAGACAAAGCTTCCTCCCTGAAGGTGTATTTGACATCTGCCAGACATAGAATTAATGCAAACAAAGCATCAGTCCACAGTAAGAAAAGCCGGATAATAAAGTGAGCTTTGAATAAAAACAATACAATTGCTGAAGCTATTTATGAAAGGGCTTTTTCTGGGTTGCTAATTAGGGTGAAGCTTCAGGCAATAGCTATTTTCATAAGGTGTTTTAACTTGCCTCAGCCTGCTCTTATGAAAGTCCATTTTAGGTTTCTCTTTCTCAATGAGGTTTAAAGCACTGTCATCATGAGTGTCACACTGATAGAATGAGAAAGGTTTTCCAGACTGGAAATGCCTGAGGAGGAGCTACCAGCCTTAGATAGTGACAAAAATTATTTATATGACTTGTATTTCTATGACTTGAAGGCATTAAAGAGAGAACCTACATCAAATTTTGGGTTCTTCATCAAGACTGGGGAATAAAGCATTCTGGGCAGCTTGTCCAATATGGTTTGTCCTGCCTGGGAACCTTTGATTGGAAATACCAATCAACCATTTTGTCTTGGTGTCTTTAGCTTGGAGTGCTCAGGAAACACTGCGCCAAAGTGCACTGAGCTTCCTGGTGTCTCCTGGAGAAATTTCTCCATCCAAAAGACTTCAGGCACTGACCTGAGTTTGGTTCTTCTGTACATCTAGGAGCCATTCTGCAGCCCAACAGGAAAGTGATGAAGGAACCTAGGAGAGTTGAGGCAGAGTGAGATAGCTTGGATTGGATTTGGGGCCTTTGGTGCCGGAGTGTGTCTTCATAGCTTCTTTCTAGTGCACAGAAACCAGGAACATCTCCCCATGCAGTCTGTTATTGTACTCATAGTCATCTTTTTTTAAAATAATTTTTTTACATATTCCTCAGTAGAAGAGAAAGATTGTACTTAACTTGCTCCTATGACTCGGTGAATTGAACGGAGACAGTTCCTCCTGTCTGGGATGATCTCCTATCCGAGAGCTCAATATCTGGAGAGTGATCAACATCAGATGAAGTTCTCCCTGCTGCAATTCACACTCAAGTCTGACTTCTCTGTGTATACAGACCTTTTTCTGACACACCAATAACACAAAGACAAGGAGAAAAGTATATGCAGAGTAAGAGCTGTTGGGGCTAAATTAGCTACAAGCGTGCTTATTGTCCTGTGGGAATAACAGATGAAAACCACCTGGGGAAGTGGTTGGCTGGCAAGCAGAACGATTAGTTGCTTGTCATAAACATGCGAAGCAGGCTCTGTTAGCTAATTGTGATGATGATTAAAAGAAAAACATCTTGCAAATTGCATAATTGAATGGTTGGAGTTTTCCTGGCTCTTTGCATGTCCTAGCTGGCTGCTGGCATCTGGGATAAGATGTTTGAAGAATTCAAGCAATGAAATTTTGTCTTTTACAAAGCCTGTTTTGCTGACGTCTAGCCAGTCACCATACAGAGTAGTCAGCCCTGCCTTAGGTAACACGATTGCCCATAGTGATTGGAAATAAGGAAGGAGTAGGTGAGTCGAAATGATCTTATTTCTTACCTTTGTGAGCTTACTGTTGGTTTTTTTTTTTTTGATAATTTTTCCTCTATTTTTATTTAGTGTTGGGATGTTCCAGCACATTCAGCACATATTTGGTGCATATAGGGTGTAGAATCAACAATTAAGTTAAATTATTCTTAAACTCCTCTGTTTATTTAAGAGCTATCTGGAGATCAAAAAAGCAAATAAACATTCATGATATTCAGTAGCCAGAAGTTGACAGGACTTGCCTGTATTATAAGGCCATCTGCATATGGCTCTGTCTTTCCTACCTTGTTACTGAGGGAGTTGAACCTACCTCTGAGACTGTGCCTGGCTGACCAGACTAATGTATTTCTCATTCCCTGTAATGCAAATATGCTCTGCCATTCCTTTTATGTGCAGTGTATGAGTATACTGGAGAGTGATGCTACTCAGATGTACCTGGGGGGGGGGGGGGGGGCCGAGTGTGGACAGAACCTGATGTTCTACACTAAGGCCAATCTCATATTTTTCCTCCTTACAGCCCAAACGTTGAAGTGTTACACCTGCCATGAACCTACATCATCCGAGAAGTGCATGAAGATCCAGAAGTGTGGTAAGAATGAAACCATGTGCAAGACAACCATGTATTCCTTGGAGGAAGGTAAGAGCAAGTCTTCTTTATCCATACAATTAGTGCAAATCAGTGCTTCTCCAGTGCAGTCTGCTGGTATGGGGAGAAGTACCTTTTCTCACATATTTAAAACTGGAAGTCTCCTGCTCTTTTCACATGTGCCAGCACTTAGTGAATGCAAGTTCAATGCAATGATGTTCAACACTGGTCACAGTCAGAGAAAATGTGTTGACTTGAATCTGAGAAATGGAGATATGGAGCCTTCTATCTCTCCAGACCATCTGCATGACCTACGCAATGGGTGTGTGGAGTAGAGAGCTGATAGAGGTACGTCAAGCTCAGTAAGGTAGGAAGGCCAACTGATGGCTAACCATTGACAAACCATAAATAGAACTGAGTTCTCAGGAGCCTTTAGGAAGGTATCTTCAGTCTGCAAGTGACCCTAAAGGCCATGACCTGTCCAAATAAAGAAATGTACTGTTAAGGTGGAGGTTTCGTCTTTTTTTCTGACTCACCTGGGAAGTCTCTGTTTGCATGTGGCAGAGGAAGGAGATATTGAGTAGAGTCAAAGTGGAGATAGATTAAGTGTTTAATGGGACTTCTGCAGGAGTAAGCAGCAGATCCTGATAGGACACAGAGGATGCAATGTGCTGTTCAGCTTAGAACCACTGGTCAGGAACTGTTTCTTACTTCTGGTAGGAAGTGGTACAGTTGTGTTTGAACTGATGCCAAAACTTCAGTGGTGAAGTTAGTTAATGTTATAGCTAGGGACAAAGAAATGGCTGTTCACACCTCCCATTCCTTAATGTTCCTTCTTTCTTGCTTTGTTGCAGTTTATCCTTTTGTGGGACTCTCAACTGTCACCAAGATGTGCTCTTCGGTCTGCAGCCCATCTGATGTGGATGGGATTGGCATGACGCGCCCCGTCTCCTGCTGTTACTCCAACCTGTGCAACATTGATGGTGCAGCTAGTTTGAGAATCAGCTTTGTGCCAGTTGGGATGTTAGCAAGCGCTGTATGTGGTCTCTTCTGGTCTAGATTGTGAGGAGCTGAGGAGGGCATGTTTCTGCTGAAGAACCCAACAGAGAAGAGAATGAAACCCTGCCAGCCCAGCTTTCCATTTAGATGCCTCATGGACTACCTTCAACATCTTCCACAAATGATGTTTCTAGTTCCTAACCTCCTTCCATAATCAGGAAGGAAGAAAAATTCAGAAATTCTCAACAAAATTTTTGAGGTTAATTCTCCAACATTTCCCACAGAAATAACTTTCTTTCTTTTGCTGGTATGGTTGATTTTTGAACTAAAATTATGGTTTGTATAGTATATTTAAAGCAAAAGACACAGAGCTAAGTTTTCCTTCGAGCATTCTCTTCCCCACATGTTCATAGCTGAACTGACTGATCTTCTCATATGGAATTCACTTTAATGTAGCATATCCTCTCCAGCCCACATTTTTGTGCTGGCCCTTTTTGCTGCCTAGATTTCCTTCTTAGTGCATCAGAAATCAGAAGGATATTTCTATGCTTCCAGAATATGAGACAGGAGATTGGTGACCTGATCCAAGAAAGCTGAAATACCTTTTGTTTTCTGTACCCTTTTGAGCAAAATAAAAACAATGTTGTGTTAACACTATAGTGGTCTCTGAAGTTATTTATAATGTACCTGTATTCTGATAAAATTTATTTTACTTTTTACTTCCACTGATTTTCAATCTCCAGTTCCCCCTTCTAGTAGTGTTTTGTACAGTGGGATGAGTTAGGTTTTGTGATCAGTCTTGCAGTAATAAGACGTTTCTCATTATTCCCTACTGACAGAGGCCTTTCATCAGTATTTCTTTCACAGACTCCACATGTAAGGAACTATCTTTATTGGGATGATAGGTTTTGTTAAATTCTTGTCTGAGTTTGGAATTCTGATCTGATCCAATTCTTCCTTTTCCTATAAAATCCTTTTCAGGATTTACCAGCAAATTACTCTTCCTCTAATTATCTCTTTGTTTATGATAAGTGAAATTATCAATAAAGATGTTGTTTGAAGCCTTCCACGTAGCAGGTTTTGAAGCAACACCGTGCGTTTTCCATTCCTGGGAATTTTGACAGTTCAGCTGGATGAAACCCTGAGAAACTTAGTCTGATCTCATGGTTGAGAGCTCTGATAAAGAACTTGAACTAGAGACCTGGGGTTCTCCTTCCAATTTGTGTTTCTTGTAATGCTATAATCCACCTACTTACATCACCAGAGAATAAACATCATTATTTCCAAGCTCGTTGCAATATTTGGTAGTTGCTTTTGCAGCTGTTTTCTCGTGCCCCACATTGCTTCTCACTGCCAAAAATGGGATGAATATTCGATGAACTCCAGTTCCTGGATTTGTACATAGTTCTTAGCTGGATCAAATGTGGTTCTTTTTTTTTGAAACAACAGAGTGGCCAAGATGCTGCATTGAGGTGACAAGAGGAACCACATTTCTGTCAATAGAAACTATCTACAGGTTTGTCCTAGCTGACAATGTGTGTTTTTCAGCGTCCTCTGCTTGTGAGCTGTGTCCAAAGCTTGCTCCCCAGAGATGTGTGAAATATTGTGGCTTGCTGCTGTACAAATGTGGTATGTGGGGGTTTCCTTTTTACCAGACAGCTTTGGTAATCAGCAGCCTCAGGTTTTGCTGGCTCAGGGGCTGGATCAGGACTACTCAGGACTATCAGTATGCATTATTTCATGTTGAGTTTATTCACACTCTCTAGTCTTCAAAGCACCCTTTTAGGATCAGTGCCACTATTTCATTAAGGCTAATTTGTTTCTTTTCTAAATCTTCTGCCTCACTGTTTCATTCAAATCCTTCGTTCTTACAGATCAGCAAAAATCAGCAATAATCAGCAATAATCAATTGCTTCCTGTCTGCCTTTCCTACATAATTAATGTTATATAGCCTTATAGCTACCCTGGTAGTTCTTCTCCTAACCAAAGATATTGTGCCTAAATCCAGGTATCCCTCAAAATTCCATTATAGGATGAGGTAATGGCCTTAAGTTTTGCTGGAGGAGGTTCAGGTTGGATAATAGAGAAAGATTATTCACAGAAAGAGTGATCGAGCACTGGCACAGCCTGCTGAGGGAGATGATGGAGTCACTATCCTTGGAGGTTTTCAAGAAATGTGGAAATACGGCACAGAGTGAGATGGTTAGTGGGCATGTTGGGGATAGGTCGATATTTGGACTAGATGATGTTGGACTAGGTCATCTTGGTGGTCTTTTACAACCTTAATGATTCTATTATTCTAAGACTCTGTGAGTTGGCATGATTCTATGAAGTGAACTGGGCACTTTTGATCTTGCTGTGCTTTTGCTAACATCTAGTGCAAGTGATTTTTCGCATATAGGGTAAATGCAATGGTAATGTGCCATCTCATGACTATTACATTCCTTAAGACCACATCTCTGCTCTTCATCTGTTCACTGAACTTTCACTCTAGAGCACTTTTCCAAGGAAATAAGACCTCAAAACTTTCTTCTACAGTCTAAAGAAGCCGAGATACCACTGACAGCAAAGCTGGAGCCCAGGTGGATAATGACTTCCTCATCTCTGTCTATAAGCACTTGTGAGAAGCACTACTTTACTTTCTCTCTGCAGACAAAGCCTAAAGGAGCCCATATATTTTTCATTTCAGTAAATGGAGGGTTTATTTGGATGTGACCAGAACACTGAATTACTTGGTCAATTGTCAGGAATGGAAAAACTATTGGCTGAAAATGAAAGTCAGCGCTCCTACACATGAAACCAACATTATGTATTTACTAGAAGTGCAGCTTCACCAGATTTTCACTGCATAGCACTGCTCTTTTTCGGGCATGAGTTACTGAGCTTGGATTACCTTGTCCTTACCCCGTGTTTTTTGATACTCACTGGAGCCATGGCCCAGAACATCGTGAAACTGTCACCTCAAAGAACTTTAAAGAAGAAATAGATCAGCAGCCAGATTATTGTGTTATACTGTTATTTTAGTGAACACTACTAAAAATATCCATGCAGTTGCGCACACTGAGAGTATAAACCACTGGCAAAGTTACTGAAAGTGGTTGAAACCAATCTGCTGCTGGGCTTGAAGAAGTGAACTGAGCCGATCAGTTTGAAAGAGCAGAGTCTCAGTTCCAGAGATTACGTTGTTAGAGCCCTGTAGCACAGTAAACACTGTATTGTCATGGCTAGTAATAGGCCACAAGTTTTTTCTTGAGTTAGGACGCCCTCAGGGCTGAGGCACGTTGGACTTGTTTGGCTGAGCCTGTCTTGGCCTGCCTGGAGCTTTGTTTTTCATTTGTTCTAAGCTCTACCTACAGTTTTTCTATTTGAACTGGTGGTTATGTTAATTTGCTTTAGTTTTGTTTTCATATGGTGCAACTGTAGGTTTACATAGGCAACCATAAAAATGAGTTCTGTAGAAATTATGACTCCAGTGTAATGATGGGGTGTAAAGAATCACAGACTTGGTTCAGCAGTGATGCATTAAGAAGTAGAGGTGTAGGACATGAAAAAAAGAAGTGCATGGATGGAGGGTCAAGAGATGGACCCTAGGCTTGCACCAGAGACCCATCCGCCATTTCAGCAATCTCCCTTGAGGAAAGATTTAGACTGGTGTAAGGAAGAAGTTTTTTACAGTAAGGGTGATGAGAAACTGGAACAGATTGCCCAGAGAGGTGATGGACATCCCATCCTTGGAGACATTCAAGGTCAGGTTGGACAGGGGTCTGAGCACCTTCATCTAGCTGTAGATGTCTCTGTTCATTGCAGAGGAGTTGGACTAGGTGACCTTTAAGTGTCCTTCCCAACTTCAGTGATTCTATGATAATCAACTCACTGGTGGTTCAATAAAGAAATACAGACCTGGATGTGGACAAAACTAGCTTAAAGGAAAACGAGTTAAGAATCGAACCTACTTAAAATGCACTATACAGTGTAAAATCTGACGTAGGGTGGACTAAGGAAAGAAGAGGAAGGATTAAAAGTGTTATAGCAAACATAATCAGAAGGACTCCCTGTGGATCGTCAGTTGATGAAGATTTTGACCTTCGCTAATTATAATGCTTTGATTAGACTGTTAAGATTTCATTTAGGTTAATGGCCAATTATTGGGTTTATGTATAAGGTGCATTTCCTTTTTGTATCTAACAAGATTTTGAGCATAATAAAAATAAGAATATTCCCATCAGACCATGGAGAGATGGTGATATGTGCAGCTGCTTAAGTAAGTCTAATTTCCTGTGCTGCTTATTTCATCAGTACATCAGTATCTCCATAGGATACGGCCAGTCCAGCTCTTGACACTGAAGGCATTTTTGTAGTAAACTCACAGTCAAGGATATATTATTCTGGGGGTCAGACATTTGGGAAATATGTGTAGCACTGGAGATGGGCAATTGAAAAAGAGATCTTATAGAGATACTGAAACCCCTTGGATCATTGCTGTGTTTTCAACAGGGCATAACACCAAAAGGATGAGGAGGTTAAGTCATCTCTCTGATCTGGGCTAGTTGGGAAAAGGAGCAATACACAGAACTTCTGTCCTTTCTTTTGTGTTACGCCACTTCTTGCAATTGCTTGTACAGCAAGTCTGAGGACGAGCAGTGCAAGAATTTCTATGAGAAAAGGAGATCTGGTAACACAGGATTCTTCACTGTAACAGCCAGTGGTGTAAGAAGATGCTGCAAGCTGAAGGTGGACAAATTCAGACTGGAAATAAGATGCGCATTTTAACTGAATGACCTGTTAACATCTACTTTAGGACAGAGTAGGCTGGAAATGACCACTCTTAAGAGGAATTTGAGTGCCTAGTTCTGGTGGACATCTCCATGTTAGGAACATTCAAGATCTGGTGGCATAGGACCTACATTCAATATATTTCTATGACACAAGAAGTGGCACTTAGGAGGAAATCAGAAGGTCCCAACAAAGTCCTCAACTTTTCTACAGTTTCATTAGAGAGTCATAGAATCATAGAATTGTCTGAGTTGGAAAGGTCCCTTAATGGTCATCTCGTCCAACTCCCCTGCA